GGCCTGCACACAACTGCCATGAGCCTGCCGTGATCTGACGTCCCTTGTGGGGAGGCAGCCGGTGAATGTGGAGCACAATGTCAGCGTGAGATCGGGTTTCCCTGGCGGGGGACAAGCCCAGTGAGGTGAAGGCTACAGAGGGAGCAAGTTTCAGAGTCAGCAATAAACCCAGCCCTGGTGAGGACTCACCCCCATGCTGGGGCCTGCACACAACTGCCATGAGCCTGCCGTGATCTGACGTCCCTTGTGGGGAGGCAGCCGGTGAATGTGGAGCACAATGTCAGCGTGAGATCGGGTTTCCCTGGCGGGGGACAAGCCCAGTGAGGTGAAGGCTACAGAGGGAGCAAGTTTCAGAGTCAGCAATAAACCCAGCCCTGGTGAGGACTCACCCCCATGCTGGACGGCATGGGGCAGGTTCCATGCCCGGCTCCCGTGTATCCCCCTGAGGCTTCAGCACAGTCAGCAGAAGGGCACCGGAATGTCACCGGCCCATGTTGGGTTCAGAGGACAGAGAGAGCTGAAGGGGCAAATAGGCAACTCACCCCGTGGGCAGTTAGGAAGAAACTAACTTAGGAAAATACAACTTGGACGGGGCTACTGTAAGGTGGGTGCATAACTGGCTGGAGAACCGTTCTCAGAGAGTAGTTCTCAGCCATGCTGAAAGGGCATAACAAGTGGGATTCCACAGGGGTCTGTTTTGGGTTTGGTTCTGTTCAATATCTTCATCAGTGAATAAGGAAGGGTATGTCTACACTTGCACCCTAGGTCGAACTGGGGATGCAAATGCAGGCATTGAAATAGTCAATGAAGTGGGGATTTAAATATCACGCGCTTCATTAGCATGCTCTCACCGGCATGTTACTCCAAATGCCGGCTGTTTCGAAAGTGAAAGTGCGCGCCAGGATGTGTTAGTTTGAACCAAACACCTTGGTTACTCCTCATTTGGAGTAACGCGCCGGCGAGATCATGCTAACGAAGTACGGGATATTTAAATCCCCACTTCATTGACTATTTTGAATGCCTGTATTTGCATCTCTAGTTCGAACTAGGGTGCAAGTGTAGACATACCCTTAGATCAGTGTTTCCCAATTGGTGCTCTGCAGAACCCCGGGGTTCCGCAAGTGAAAGTAAGGGTTCCACGAGAACTCGGCACGCCCCCACCTCCTCTTAAAGAGACAGAGCCTTTTTGCGGTGGGACTCGGTGAGTCTTTTTTTTTTTTTCCTCAACAAATTTTACCCTGGCAACCGTAGGGGTTCCTTGAAATTCTTTTCAAGCTGAAAAGGGTTCCTTGGCCAAATAACATTGGGAAACACTGCCTTAGATACTGGCATAGAGAGGACAATTATTAAGTTTGCAGATGATCCCAAGCTGGGAGGGGTAGCAAGTGCTTTGGAGGAGAGGGTGATAATTCAAAATGATCTGGACAAACTGGAGAAATGGGCTGAGGCAAATAGGACAAAGTTGAATAAGGACAAATGCAAAGTGCTCCGCTTAGAAAGGAACAATCTGTTTCACACATGCAGAACGGGAAGCGACTGTCTAGGAAGGAGACCTGCAGAAAGGGATCTAGGGGTCAGAGTGGAGCACAAGCTAAATATGAATCAACGGTGTGATGCTGTTGCAAGAAAAGCAAACATGATTCTGGGCTGCATGAACAGGAGTGTTGTGAGCAAGACACGAGACGTCATTCTTCCGCTCTACTCTGCGCTGGTTAGGTCTCAGTTGGAGTCTTGTGTCCAGTACTGGGCACGGCATTTTAAGAAGGATGTGAAGAAATTGGAGAAGATCCAGAGAAGAGCAACGAGAATGATTAAAGATCCAGAAAGCATGAGTTATGAGGGAGGCTGAAGGAATTGGGCTTGTTTAGTTTGGAAAAGAGAAGACTGAGAAGGGACATGCTAGTGGTCTTCAGGTATCTAAAAGGGTGTCACGGGGGAAGGAGGGAATTGTTCCCCTTGGCAGCAAGGGAGGTTTAGGTTGCCCCCCCCACCACACCCTATGCTACTGCAGAGGCAGCTGTATCAGAGTCAGGGGTGGGTGTGGGGTGCATGTAACTGTGAAGATTAACTGGTTAGCCCAGGCTCATTGGCTAACTGTTTAAGCCCGTGGTCACCAACCAGTAGATCGCGATCTACCGGTAGATCTCAGGGGCTCCAAGAGTAGCTCTTGAGCCCTCTCTGAACTGCGCACCTGCGCAGTACATTTACATTAGATTTCCTCATGTAATGTAGGCGGGGCTTCAAGGAAGGAGCGGGGCAGTAGATCTTCGCATGTTCTAAGACGTAAAAAGTGATCTTGGGTGTAAAAAGGTTGGAGACCACTGATCTAGACGGTGCTTGGTCCTGCCGTGAGAGCAGGGGACTGGACTTGATGACCTCTCAAGGTCCCTTCCAGTTCTCGTGTTCTATGATTCTATGATTCTACAATGATCAAAACCATGGAGGAAAACATTACACCAGTTGAAGGAGTCGCATAAACTTTGCTTTTTAACTACTTAGGCCTTTAGAAACAAAGGGCTTCACAAATGTTTTATTGGTGTAAAAATCTGAATAAAAACATTTATGGCTCAGAGGTCTTCTAATCATTTCATCTTGTTCTCCTCGGTGACGTAGAGACGTCCTCTTCCA